AAAAAAATATATAGTTGGTGGAGAATGTGGGGCTAAGTTCAAAATTGCAGACAGGCTGTGAATTCTCTCTTTGGCAACTCTGGTAAAGGGCTTCCCGCCCAGACAACCACAGTCATCTCCGTCGGAGCCCAGCACAGGCTGCTTCTGCAAACAGCATTAAAGAATCCGTGTTGTGAGGCTGGAGGGATGGCTCAGCAGTTAATAGCACTTGCTGCCCTTGCAGAGAGGGCCTGAGCTCAATCCCAGCACCCACATGATGGCTCACAACCATCTGCAATTGAATTAATGTCTTCTGAGCCCTGTGGGCACCGGCACATGTGCAGTACATGTACATACATTCAGGCAAAACACTCAAACACATGACATAAATAAGCTTGAAAGAAAATGAGGGAGGGAGGGAGGGAGGGAGGGAGGGAGGGAGGGAGGGAGCTATAATGTAGCTCAGCTGATACGGACAACAGAGTCTGGCAAGCAAGACAAACGCACTTGGATTTCATCCTTCAAAAACAATTCACCTACAGCACATCTTACAATTTTGATGCAGGTGGCAGATCTTAGGCCACCAGGGCTTCTGCTCCGAAAAGCAACACCTGTGGAAATCCAACCAGTCGAGTATGTGTGCATGACTAATACCAAAACAGAAGGAAAAGCAAGGCCCTAAAATACGGATTTGCTAACTGTACCTCCCCATTGTGACAGCTGCTGTTTGGACCTAGGTGGGGATAGATTTAGAATGCAGGGGATTCACGGAGGCATTCCACTGAGAATTATCTAGAGAGTAGTGATGACAAGGCCCAGTGAGTAATTTTATTTCTCTTTTATGATAAAGAATAAAATTTCTTATGTCAAAGGTCATTTGATCTGCTGATACCTAGTATCCTCCCCACCTCAGATTCCATAAATGACATTTTGTAATATATGGATGGCAGGCCTCCAGTCTGGGAGTTCATTGCCTTCCACACTTTGACTGCTCACCTAAGAGTTTCAGGAGCCGGGAGAGATGGAGTCAAAACTGTGAGAACACGGAAAGAGGACGCCCTCACACTGTGATGGCACTGCTACCCGAAACAGCTAACGCCTTCTGGAGGTCAGCGGGACCTTAAAATTTACCTTCAACTTCAGATGCTCTAGCTCCCACCCGAGTAGCAACCACACTTGGTTTATGTGGGGTTGGGGACCAGGCCTAGGGGCATATGTTTACTGGGTTAGGGCACTACCCAATGCCTGAACTTGCTTTTCTACCCACTTAAATTTTCCATATGCCTGGTCTATTAGCGGAGTCCTCCTGCCTCTAGATAAACTTTCCGACCAGTGCTCACTGGTAAGCCTCTAAACATCAACAACAACAACAAAAATAAAGTATAGCTTCCTGCTCAGGCACCAAGCATGTGCTGCTCTTTCAGAGGACCCAGCTTCTATTTCCCACACTACCCTCTATGTTTCCTCAGGAAACACGAAGCTGGGCCCGGCATGACCACCCACACCCAGCCTGCCCTTAGCTCATGCCACATGCTCTGCCAGGGTTACCTTCCCCAATGCTGAGTATTCATTCTGTAGGAGATGCTAAGTAAGCATGTTTTCCATGTGGATGGATACAAGACCTTCCCAGGTCCAAGTTAATGTTCAAGTCCTTGCATGACTAGCACACTCGGTAGGCTACCAGTCCTCTTTGAGCATTCTTTTTTATGCTCATCGAGGTACATTTTGCACCTACAATGAGGCAGGTGTCAGCCTCAACCTAGATTAGGCAAGACACTGTCCTGCCTCCAGAGAGCCCAGAATCCAGTGGAGAGTGTCACAAACACACCCACTAGCACGAACACAGCTGCTAGGACAGCGGATCTAGGCTATTGCTAAATAAACGTGTACTGAGACCTTTCTAGGCTACATACTGCTTGAGTGCTGATTGAAATCTAACGAGTCACTTCACATGGGTGTAAAAAGACTCCAGATGGCTAAGTTGGTTTCACCTGGTTAGATGCGCAGAGCCTAGACTCCAGTGAGGTCTGGTTCCTTCTCCTTGCCAGCCTCAAGGGGTACGTTGTGCTGTGGGAGGAGCAAGACATCTCCTTCATGGAACAGTGTGTAATTCAGAATCCCCTCCATGTGTGTACAGGATGAAGGAAGGGAAATGGGTTGGGCTAGACTCAAGCCTAAAGATGCCATTTTAGTCACTGCATCAGCGTCCCCATCGAGATAAGCTGCCTGTGGAGGAGGCAGAGCTCCTTGTGGTATTTCCACGCTCCACACGTATTCCGTACAGCTAGTGGGAATCCTATGAGCTACTCCTGTTTGGCTTGGGGGTGGTCGTTTTTGGTTTTTAACTTTTGTCTCCATGGTTCCTCCCGGCTACATAAATACAGTTATCTGTTTCTGGCCAGGTTCAGGTGGTGGCTGTTTCAAACCTAGAGCAAATCTTACAGCAGATATCAAGTAGGTAAGATGCCATCTTTCCTGTTCCAAACCTCTATCACTGCCAGACGTCCTATGTTCTGTGGAATCACTTACATCACAAGGGAACTAAAGACCATCACGGTGTGGTGTGTAAAATGCATGAGCATTTAACCTTCCCAACAGAAGTGGGTCCCAGCATACCCATGTGAGAAAAAAACAGACTCCGGAGCAACACACACATCGAACCTGGAGCACAGGCTTCCAGTCCCAATGGCTGTGCTCTCCCCACCCCCACCCCACACAGCGTTTCTCTGTGCAGCCCTGACTATCCTGGGGCTCACTCTGTAGACCAGGCTGTCCTCCAACTCAAAGGTCTGCCTGCCTCTGCCTCCCATGGGCTGTGATTAAAGGTGTGCACCACCACCAGCTGGCCATGCTCTTAACCACTTGTCTAGGACACCAGCCAGGCAAGAAGATTAGGGAGAGCTGGGTGGTCTCTCCGGAAGAACCTAGGAAGGGAACTGCTGAGAGCTTGAGGGAAACCTGTCTATCTCCATCTTAACTACTCTCACCCATCTTCCATGCAAAACTAAGAGTCATTTAACCAAGATGTGAGTGGAAAAGTCCATTTCCACATTCAGTCAGCCTGACAGGGTATCTAAGTTTCTCAGCTTCCTCTCCCAAGGAGTAAGTGATGAAAACAACTCATGTCCCAGCTCCCTCTCCTCTGTGCCAACTTCCAACCACCCAAACGTGTAAGCATCTATTCTGAGGCAAGAACTGTACTAAGATCTGGAACCACAATTGTCAGCAAAGGCAAGAGCCTCACTCTCTGGAAGCTTAATGAAGTAAACAGTGATTTCTGGTGTTACGGAGTAATAGGAGATATCGATGAGATGGGGAGGCTTGACTTAGGAAGTTCTTCTTGGAAGGTAATATTTGAATTCATCGTTAAATCCCAAGGAGGCCTCCTTCAGAGCACAGCTTCCCCTTACACTTGAAAGGACCTCAGTGAACATCAAGTGTCAACTCTTTTTAGTGGTAGTTGAGAAAATAAAGGCTCAATGGCACCAAAAGACTCAGACAAGGTCTCCAGCGAACTGGGATGCTGCTCCCCACCACCCCAGGGCACAGCTGATAGACTCATCTGAAGAGCAGGTGTCTTGGATTTGGACTTTCAATTCCCTCAGACAGTCACGTTTGCAATTTTATTCTCAAAACAACCCTTGGGAAATGATGTCCAACTTCCCTTCAACAAATGACAAAATGGAGGTAAGGAATGTACCTAATGACTTGTCAAAAATGGCTTAAGACCTTAGGCATCAGTTTCCCAGACCTGTGCTCTCTCCCTTGGGTGAGCAGCAGCTGTATACTAAGTGGTCTGGACACATATGGCAGCATCAACAAGTTCATATGACAGATCATGCAAGAGTCAAAGGTGAGAACAATTTGCTCTGCCATAACACACAAATTCAAAGTCCCCGAGTTGTTTGTACACGAAAGAGTATGTGACTCTGTGACTGGAAGACTGCAGCCTGAAGCAGTCAGGACCTGTGACTTATGGATGCAGGATGAAGTTTTCTACACCAAACACACCCCGAGAGTCTTCATAACTACACAACCCAGCCTTCAGAACTAGTGGGCCTCTGTAAGGGTCCTGATGCTGAGAGAGAGAGTTCCTCCCAGACATGTCTACACACACAGAATCATCTAGGGGAACTTCAGGGCAACACAGACATTTCAGGTTCACAGAAGGCACAGAGATGCCCCATCGGGAAACAGAGGGACCCGAATTTCCACTCTGCCCCTCATGGCTCATCACTGGCCCAGCTGGAAGGGAGAGAGGCAGCTCTTGTTTTGACTAGCAGGTAGGAAGCCGGCTGCTGCCTGCCTTTGGAAGTCTTCCCTTACACCCAAAATGCTTGGATAGCAAAGCCTATGAGGTCTGCGCTCTCTCTCTCTCTCTCTCTCTCTCTCTCTCTCTCTCTCTCTCTCTCTCTCTCTCTCTCTCTCTCTCTCTCTCCCGCCCCCCCGTGCATCAAATTTCCATACAAAACTCTACCACCACATCTCATACAAGCGAGGGAAATGAGCAGCTCCCCAATGCCTTTATGAAGTAGAGCCTAAACCTGGCATTCCCCAATAGACAGTCTGCACCCCCTTAACTTTCCCTCCTGCCACCACCAAAGGCCTCAGCCCCTCCCCACAGCCACTTGCTAGAAAAAAGGAAAGGGAAAGAGCATCTCCAGGCTAGGGGGCAGGTTACAGAAGCCATTTCTTACCTAGGGGAGAAGGAGCCACCCGGCCACTAGGACTCTGTGCTGTGAACACTACTAGTCTTGGAACTCACTGGACTTTGGACAAAGATTGATTTAAAAGCTGATGTATTTAACAGGGACCTGTGGTCTGGGTTCAAGTGACCTCTGTCCTGCTCCCTGCCAACTGGAAACCCTCAAGATACCTCCGCCAAAAGAAGCCCTGCCCCCACCCCAGCTAACAATGTGGGAAGTAGGAGGGCTTCTTGTCTGTGCTCCCTCGGGACAACAAAGGGGGAGAGAGGAGGTGGGAAGGACCGCTGAGGGGGAGTTGTCTCTGCATGAACAGAGGACTGGGTCACACCCAACCAATACCCAGTTCCAGGAGGACCCCCACTGTCCCTAGCCCAGGGTCAGAGTCGGGGCTCATCACCAGCCACCTCCCACACTCAGGCCATCCTGAGAGCGGGGACACTGAAACTCTACCCAGAAATCCACCAACAGGCCAAGAAAGCCCCGGAAAAGCCTGCTTCCACTGCCCTGGGAGCTCGCACTTGCCTGTTCGCTGAGGTCAGCAGCAAAGCCCAGCTTTAATGCTCTCTCCTCTATCCCGAAGGCGGATCTCTGTTCTCCAACTACTGATACCTGTCTTCCTCTTCGCTCTGCAGTCTCTCAGGAAGGCAGCCGGGTAGTGGACCGCGTTTTCACAAGTTCTCCTGTGGGCCGGTGCTGCTCAACAGGCCACCAGCCTCAGCCCGGGCAGCAGCTGATCTCTATCAACCGCACCCACTCAAACTATCCTCACCTGGATTCTCAGCCCACACTCCTGATCAGGGTAAGAGACAGCTCACAGCAGTGAGGCCAGGCGAGCTCCAGGCTGTGGACTGGGTGGCCTTATCTTTCCTCCACTCATGAAGGAAGAGCTAGCCATTTATCTTCCCTGGGTCTTGGCTTTGCCCTCAATCCACTTGTGACCTAAGCCAGTAGGTAAGAAGTTTAAACTGAAGGAACGACATCAGAGTCATTCCATCATATCCGACTGCCTTCCATCTTTAGGCTGTATTCTCTTGACCTTTAATATAACTTTCAAAGCATTAGGGCAGGCTAGGGCGCCGTAGATTTAAGATCAGAACACCTGACTCTTCCAATTCCCAGATGTTGGATCTGGGCTAATTATCTTTCTTACAGTGTTGTGGGTGGGATGCAGAACCTACCCCACGCATGATAATCATAAAAACTTAATATCATACCTATAAGTGAGTCTAACCTGATTAACCCAAGAACAGTGTAAGTCCTTCACTGATGATACAGATTTAGCAGGTTCTTCTCTTATGAACCCCGCAAAGCCTTACATTCCTTACTCTCTTCAGCCCTCATCATGTGACATGATATTCATCTTCTAGATAAGAAAGCTTAGATTCATCTGTTTAATAACCCTGCCCAGGATCACCTGACCCGAAGCACGGAAGCGCCTTGGACTCCGCCCCTGTCTTCTTAGATGAAGAAGCTACAATAAGGCCCCACAGGGTTAGCAGAAGCTTCCATGGCTCCTTTGCCTTCTCCAGTTGTGTTTGAACAGCGGCAGATGAGGAGCTCTTCTAGAAGGTGCACTCCGTTGTTAGGGAGACGGAACTGGGATTTCCTGGGTCACTTCCAACTTCAAGATTAGGTAAATCTGCTAGGGGATTTTGTTTGTTTTTTGAGACAGGGTTTCTCTGTATAACTTTGGCTGTCCTAAAACTCGATCTGTAGACCAGGCTGGCCTGGAACTCAGAGATCCATCCACCTGCCTCAGCCTCCCAAGTGCTGGGATTAAAGGTGTGCACCACCACTGCCTGGCTAAATCTGTTGGGTTTTAACACACACGTACACATAGGAACACACGCACATGTACAATCAGGGCAGCCTGTCCTTGAGGCTGTTCAGTGTAAGCTCTGATTGGTCTGTAGAGTTCTGCAGGTGAGAAGCTGTGAGTACAGGCTGTAGCTTGGGATATGGGAGTGGTTTTGTTTCTCAAGATTCAAGCCCTGGAACCCAAGGCCTTACTGTGCTTGGCTAATGCTCTTACCCGAGTCACAGGCCAGCCCTGGCTTTGGCATCAAAAAGATGTTGTTAATGGTTTCTTTTCTTTTGTTTGTTCTGTTCAAGTTGGAGGCTTTTGTTTGGTGAGGGAACATCTATCTACCCCCATGGAAAGGTAAAGAGACACTCAACATTCTGCAGTCTGTGTCGGTTACTTACCCTGGTGCTTCCAATAAGGGAAAAATTCATGGCAGGTGCACTGGGCCCCAGCACCTTAGCTCCCCACCCCTCCTCCAAGACAGGTCTGTGACTAGGAATTGGCCAGAGAAATGTCTTTTTTCTTCCCAGAATCTCAACTGAGATGGCCATTTTCTTTGACTTCTTGATCTCTTCAACTCTGCTCCGTTTTGTTCACAAACTTACCATGTTCCAGCACACTCCCGTATTTTTATTATTTGATTCCTTTGTCCCTCCTATGAGAATATCAGTTCCTCAGAGATTTGGGTTTTTAGATTTATTTATGTGTATGGGTGTTTTGCCTATGTGCTATGTCTATGTGCCACATTCATACTTGGCGCCAGGGAGTCTAGAAGAGGACACCAGATCCCCTGGAACTCGAGTTACAGACAGTTGGAGCTGCCATGTGGGTGCTGGGAACTGAACCCAAGACCTTTGGAAGAGCAGCAGTGCTCTTAACCACTCAGTCGCCTCTCCAGCTCCTGAGATTTAGATCTTTCTCACTTTGTCTCAGATGCCTGGAATATAATGGAACAGGGCCCCAGACCTTAGCACAACCGACTCCATGATGGAAGTGCCATTCAGGCTGTAAAACAGCAAGTAGACATCGCCACTGCCAAAACTAACACAAAGGCCCAACCATCAAAGACCACACCATTCTGAGAAAATGTCAAAATGTACTAACCTTGTTTTTTAGTTTCTGTAGTTATGCTTCTGGCTAATTGTTCTTGTTAACTGTGTATGTCAACCCAGGACATGGTTTTGTGCTTAAGAGCTCATCCTGGGAAAGGCTCAGTGCTACATTGAGATCCAGAACACCTAGTGTAGTCTCCGACCAGCTAAGAAAGACCAGTGCCCCAGCAGTCTTCTCTGGTAAATACGGTACATAACAAAAAGACTACCATATCCTAAGATTTCAAGTAAACATGAGTGAAACACTAAATTAACCTTGCCAATAAGACTGGTTTATCCACCTCACGTGACAGGTAGACGCAGGTGGGGGATGGTCCAGCCAGTCTCTTCTGGGGGGCTGAGTGGGATGGTGAGTGCCCATGACTCAGACCCTCCCCCACTAGTCACCGGGGAGAAAATACACAGAGTCGGCAGACTTGTCGAAGCAGCATCTCAATTTATTTTAACAGGTAGGAACTTATGTAGGGATGAGGTATGGGATGGGAATCTTAGGATAGGGTAAGGCGATGTGAGGAGTAAGGGCCAATAGTATTCCACCAAGCAGGCAGGTAGCTAGGCAGGGGGCAGTCTTACATCAGGTCTTACTGAGTCACCTCCATGAGGAGGTTACAGGCCAGACAGGTTGCCAAACTCTAGCCAGGCTCAGGAGTTACACTAGGTCTCACTTCCAAGCCTTAAACTCAAGTCAATCCGAGCCTTTTTAGGCTCAACAGCATTGAATCTCCTAGAGCTGGAGTTACAGGTGGTTGTAAGACACCCTCCCCCGCCAGCCCCTCCCCCTAGTGTACCAGGAACCAAGAACTCCAGTCTCCTGAAAGAGCTGACCCACTCTTGACAACGGAGCCATCTCTCCAGCTTCCAAGAAGACTTTTATAGCCATCCAGATCTAACAAGTGTTAGTGCATAATGCTACCTCATGTTTACAAGAATCAGTCACTTTTCTTCCGAGTGCACAGTGGGCCAACATTCATGGAAATGGATGGGCTAGAAGTACAAGGTGCTGACTCAGGACTTTCGGGGTGTTTGGGGCACTATGAGTGCCACTCCGCCTTCTAGTATCTCAGCATCCTATGCAGCTGGTCAGAAACACAAAGCTAAAAACACCTTCCGCCATTTCCTAATACTTTCCTCACCTAGTCACATACAGAGATAGGTAACAGTTGTGAGGGTCATTAGGATGGGCAAGTAAAACTTCTCAGTGGTGGAACTATCCTGGGCCAGGTCCCCTGGCTCTGCTCAGATTCCCCAGAAGCTGGGGTTGACATTCTGGTATACTTAGAAAACTATAAAATATTGTTGAGCTGTAAATCCAAGAAAAGTGTAAAGATGTCAACTCTCTCCAAATCTATCAGACAGACAGACAGACAGACAGACAGACAGACGACAGACAATTAGATGGTGGCACTTCCAATGAAAGTTCCCTCATGTGATGGTAGAACCTGGATAAGCTAGTTTTAGAAATAAAAATAAGCATAAGGAAGGGAACCAACGAGCAGGCTCAGTAAAAGCAGCTGCCACTCAAGCTGGATACCCTGAGTTCAATCCCTGAAACCTAGAAAAAGGTGGAAGGAGAGAAACAACTCCACAAAGTGTCCTCTGACCTCCACATGCATTCACGAATGCACATCTGCACACACGCTCGTACACACACACACACACACACACACATATACACACACACTCATACACACTCACACTAAGGAAGGAGTTTCTATGTCTGTACATCAAAACCATGTAGTAAGTGGTGGCATTTACTACAATATGATTTGGGGACCAGGTAGGCAAATGATAAATTCAAATGAAATAAACCAGAAAGCCCCAAAACAGATCTAAGCATATACAAATAGTTGATTCATGACAAAAAATAAAGACAAAAAAAGCTAGGCTTTTTTTCATATAAAAATGAGTGTATGTTTTCTTTCTTTCAATCAAATATTTGTGGATTCAGCCAAGTTTATAAGTGTACTTTGCTTTCATTTTCATATTAATATTTGATACTACTATAACATTCCATTTAGATAATATCTGGATATAGGGCAGAGTATTGTGGCTTAGGATGCTCATCTGATTTCTGGGATGTGGCTGAGATTTAGGTTCCTCCACTGTGTGGTGGTTTCCTGGGGCTGACAACTGTCTTGTCCCTTCTTTTTTCTAAATATGTATTTGACTATGAGGTTAGGAAAGAAGTTTAAAGTTTTATTTGTTTGTATGGTTATTTGGTTTGTTGTTGTTATTGTTGTTTTGAGACAAGGTCTCTATGTAGTGCTGGCTGTCCTGGAACTCACTCTGTAGACCAGGCTGGCCTCACACTCACCCATCCAGCAGTGAGCAGGTTGCTTTCGGGTATCTAAGGCCTGCTTGTCCTTCTTGTAAACCTTTGACTGCTACAGTACCTTTACTTCGTTGTGTGTATGTGTGGGCACATAAAGTCAGAGGACAACTTTTGAGAGTGAATTCTCTGCTCCCATCGTATTTCCTCAGCTTTTTGATTATGAAACATAGACCCAGAGAGATGAAGTGACTTAACCAAGGACACCTCAAGCTCATGGCAGAGATGTGGCAGCTGAAGGCTTGTGCTTTTGTTTCTACAGCCATTGTTCTTTCCACAATTCAAGTCATCTTGGCTACAGGGGACCCGAGAAGCCCTGATTTGTACTTCAACATCTGATTATACCTTTTTAGCAGCTCATTAAATGCTCCTACCCTGGCATTTTAGATCCTGCTGTCCTCTGTCCCTGTCCTGAGTCAACTTTATGACTGTCTCCCTTTGCCTCTTTATGCTACTGGCCTCCTCCAACATCCATGGAAGCTGCCCATGCGGGCTGTGCACCTTTAGAAGAATTTATTAGGTCAGGGTCCAGATGCAGGACAGAGATAAATGTTTTACAGCTGTGTGGATAGATGGGTGGCCTGCGGGACAATGCCACCCCTCCTTGCAGTGGTATGCATTGAGGCCCCATGTGGTTGCTGATCAGAACTTTCTAGTTTTTATATGAAACAGGCTTCAAGCCAGAGGAAGCCTGAGAACCCCTGGAGAGCTATGAGTTGGTAAAACTTGTAAGTTGGCTATGAAATATCTTTTTCTTTATTTTTATTTTATAAAAGTATATGTTTGGCCTGCATGTATGTCCATGCACTGCATGTATTAGATCCACTGGGACTATAATATAGACAGTTGTGAGCCACTATGTAGGGGCTGGAAATCAAACTCTGGTCTTCTAGAAGAACAGCCGGTGCTCTTAGTTGCTGAACCACCTCTCCAGCCCCATGAAGAATATGTTTATAGTCATTCCCTCTCCCTCTTCCCAGCTGAGGGGTCAGAATACAGAGTCTGGTTCCACCAAAGGTAAACTATGGCATAGAGAAAGAGTATAGCCATGAATGTAATGTCATGACTTTTGGAATGCAGGTTTTAGGGCCTCTGCTTACTTTTCTGAGGGACACAGAGACAGTGAATTGCCTGGATTCCATCTTAAAGAGTCAGTGTCTCAAGACTCCCTAGTGCAGTGCTTCTTCCCCTTCTTAATGCTGGACCCTTTAACACAGTTCCTCATGTCGTGGTGACCCCCACCATAAAATTATTTTCATTGCTACTTCATAACTGTAATTTTGTCACTGTTATGAATCATAATGCAAATATCTGATAGGCAGGATGTCTGATATGTGACCCCCATGAAAGGATCATTTGACCCCAAGGGAGTCATGACCCACAGGTTGAGAGCCACTGCCTAAAGGGACAGGCTGGGGGGGGAATACGAGGACACACGCTGAGAGACTGAGGATAACCCCCCAACCCCCCTACCCCCACCCCCGCCCAGAGACAAGGGTCTGTGAGAAAGAACAGGGGCCAACGGCCCCCCTCTGGCGTGACTGCAAGGAAGATTTCCTTCAGAGTATGGCCTCCAGGTGGGCTCCCAGCACCCTGGCATTACAGTGAACAAACTAACTGTATCTGTTCTTTGAGAGAGAGAGAGAGAGAGAGAGAGAGAGAGAGAGAGAGAGAGAGAGAGAGAGAGAGAGTGCTTAGAATCCTAACATGCCAGAGTAGAACGTGGCAATCCACACCTGTAATCTCAGCTACTCAGGAGGTGGAGGCAGGATTTCCAAATCAGGGTCTGCCTGGATTACACAGCAAGTTTAAATCAAGCCTGGGCAATGTAGGGAGACTGTGTTTCTAATCAGTCAGTCAATAAATCAAAGCTCTGGGAATATCATTCATCACTAGAGCGCTTGCCTAGCATGCATGAGGTTCTATCTCCAGCACCACAGACTCAAATATAATAAATAAAAAATAATAATTCTAATATACTAAGGGAAAATTAGCTCTTACTTTCACTGGGCCCCAAGAGGGCGCACTTCCTCGGAGCCTGTCAGTCAGGACCAAGACGCTCCTTCAGGTCTGTGAGGAGGGTGGCGTGCACACAGACACTGGAGCTCACAGTGAACCCTTGCTTGAATACTGACTTTCCTTCCACATGGATCCCACTGGACATGTCCTGGAGAGTGAAATAATGCATCCTGAGTCCAAGGTATTCAGCATCAAGAAAGCTTGGGCCTCCTTCCTGGTGAGAAGATGAGAACCCGTGAATCCACAAAGTTCAGTAGGCCAGTCTCCCCAACTTCTCTGAGGACAGAGTTTAGAAGGAGCCTGAGAGAGGAGCCTCCAGGCTGGATGAAACTCAGGCATCGAGCAGATGTGGGCGGATGACCTTACATGTTCTTACCTTGGTATGAGGAAACAGCATGGCCCTGGATTGGACCGAGGCATGTCTCTATCTGCATTGCAGAATATGACTTCGTAATAGTGAGGGCTGCAGAGTCCACTGGTGGGACAGAGCCTTGGCTGTGGCCATTTCTGCCACCAGGCTGAGACACTGTGAAAAAAACTCAAGTGTGTGGAGTGGAGTGGGGGGGGGCAGTGGCTGAGCCACTGAGACCAGCCTCCTCATGCTGGTCTCGCTTCAGTGGGAGACCTAATTAGAACAGGACCTGATACCCTCTATGGTCCAGGAAGAAAGCACAGACTGTCCAGGACACTACAGTATTGGGCAGATATTCTGCTTCCCAGCTTAAAAGAACAGAAATTAAGGTCAAAACTCTTGGTGAAGCATTCAGTAGAGACTGGAGATCAGAACCAAGGCCGAGACATCCTTCTCAAGACCTGCTCTGTCTAGATGCTGCCCAAACCCCTGAAGCTTCCATCCTTGTCTCTACGGTGACACAGACCTCCTGGCTCCCTCCTTGTCTTATATTACCAAGAACTCTGGGCTACAGGCCAATAGAGACAGGGGTGGGGATGAAATACCCATACTGCTTTGATGCAAATGCCCTCTGGTCCCTGAGGATTGGCTTCCATCCAGAAAGCCATTGGCTGTGCCAGGTAGCAGGTCACCCTCTCTATGGAAAAAGTCACGTCTCCTGACAGCCCCTGGAGCCAGGAGAGTCTTCTATCCCCTCTACCCGGTGTGGCCCACCTGCTTCCCATCACCATCAAAACAGCACATGGCTGTGGGTGGGAGCCCTGCTTAGATCAGTCCAATATCACACACACACACACACACACACACACACACACACACACACACACACACACAGCCTCTCGTGGAGTCAGCCAAGGGAGCCTTGAGGGGGAAAAATGCAGAACAGCATCATTTACTCCTCACACATAGACTGGGTAGGCCTTGGCCATCTACAAGTCTGAGACATCCAATGAAGTGCAGAGATTAACTTTGGCATCTTTGGAAGCAGTGACAAAAGAAGGCAGGAGGCAGGCGTGAACTCCTGCAATTAATGAGTGAGCATGGCAGTCTGGACTCTGTCCACAGGAGCATTACAAGGGAAAGAAGACATTAAAACCAAGCCATCGGGCTACGTGTGTGCTCAACAGTAAAACACTTTCCTGGCATGCATAAAGCTAGAGGTTCAGTCCCCAGCCCTGAAGAAAACAAACCCACAAGAAATAATCAAAAAGAGCTAGAGATATTTAACCTCCGAAGGAGAAACATTCGGGAGAATAAATTCTTATTTTGTTTTTGTTTCACATTATAGCTCAGGCTGGCCTCAAACTCAAGAGCCTCTTGCATCCACGTGAATAATCTTAGTGCTAAAATGATAGGTACTTGCTACTGTGCCTACATTGCGAAAAATTAACTTTCTTCAGAGGTTCGATAGACTGTTTGAAAGTAATTACTTCTGAAATGAAGTAATTATAACAGCCAATACCCACTGATGACTTACCCTGTTGAGGACCAGGCCTATTGTTTCCCATGCTTTGTCTCAATTATCTAAATATCAATCATTATCCCAATTCTAAAGGTGAGGAAAATCCAGAAAACTTGGATGACCTGCCCAAAGTCATACAGTAAAGTGGTAGAGGCGGAACAGAAACCCAGACAGTCTGACCCTTAAGTTCGTGACTGACCATCAAGCACAATGTGACAGTGAGCCCTCAGCAGAATTAGGACCAGGTTCAGAAGTCCAAGGGAGATAAGACAATACCTTGAGGAAGAGTTTTCAATAATAACTGAAGAATTCAACAGAGAATATCAGGTGACCTATAGAGACACTTGCTCATCCAACCAATGCTTCTCTACTCAATGCCTAGAAATGGGAACCATCCTAAATGCCCATCAACTGATGAACGGATAATGAAAATGTAGCACATTTACAGTGGAAGATAATTCAGTTGTTGGGAAAAGTAAACTTATCAGGTAAATGATAGAGCTGGAAAAATTATCCTGAGTGAGGTAAGCCAGACCCAAAAGGAGAAATATTATGGATGTTAGTTTTTTTCCAATATGTGTGTTACTACTGGAATAACCAGAGGTTAGTTACCTAGTAAGGGTGTGGTGATATTTTATGATTTATTAAAGCTTGCCTGAGGATACAGAAAGCAAGGCTAGCCACAAGCCATAGAGCCAGGCAATGGTGATACACACCTTTAATCCCAGCAGCCATACAAGCTAGCCATAGAGCTATGCAGTGGTGGCACATGCCTTTAATCCCAGTACTCAAGAGACAAGCAGACAGATCTATGTTAGTTCAAGGCCACACTGAGCTACATGAAATTTATCCAGTCCTAAAGAGAAACAGATCACACAAAGGTGATATCAGTACTTGGGATCACACGGCTTTAATCCCGGATTTGAGAGGAATAAAAGGAAGAGGCAGCAGCCTGGGATTGCAGTCTGAGGTCTAGTGGAGACAGGATTGCAGTCTGAAGGTTGGTGGAAACGTTTATTCTCCAGCCACGCTGAGGAGAGGACAGCCCTTTCAGCCTGAGGTAGAGGTAAGAGCCAGTGGCCGGCTGCTTTGCTTTTCTGATCTTCAGCTTGAAGCTTAAACTCCAATATCTATCTCTGGGTTCTTATTTTTTGTGTTACATAAGGGAGGGGAGATGAAGGGAGGAGAGGGGAGGAGAGAGGAGGAGGGGAGGGGAGGAGAGGAGGGGAGATCACAAGGAAGGGGAAATAGAATAAAGCATTATGGAGAGACAAAGGAGAAACTAAGAATAGGAGGATTGAACAGGAAGGGACTATGGGGAGAGACAACTAACAGAAGGCATCCTAACATATATGCACATATGAAAGGAGTCTTACCAGAGTCACCAAATAATAGGGGAGAGATTGCTCCAACCAAACATCTTATGCCATCAAGTAAAACTTCCAACAGCAGGAATAGGTTGCATGTTGTTGGGTCGTTGGCCAAAGGGGCCCCACAGGGACTCCCAAATATCACAGGCTATTGCAGAGTCTATCAATTGTTCTCCACTCTCGGATGGCAAGGCTCTATTCTGAAAATACTTATGTCCTTAACATGTAGAAGTGGAACTGGTGCCTAGCTAGAAGCTTCCCCCCTATTGACCAGTACCCTGCATGCTACTGGAGGGGAAAGGTAATACCAATATTACCCACCTATAAACCCTGCAGCTACAACAGCGACATGCCTGCAAGACATACTGCTGCAACAGTGTCATAAACGTCACGGGTGTAGCAACCTCCTTTTAAAAGCTGGCCTTAAGACCCACTTCATGAAATACATCTCATAACTGAAACTGCTAAAGTGGCTAAGAACCTGAGACTAAGCAGGTGGTGGGCATAGGAGAAAACCTAATACTATCATTCTGCTAACGGGACTCAGCAATACAATGACTCCTCCCGGCACACTGTGACACCCAGAGATCAGTGCCTTAGTCGGCCCAGATCAGATCATCATCTTTTTGCAGTAGATGGAAATTAACACAGGGACCCACAGCGGGACAGTGTGCAGAGCGGGAGAGCCCTGAGAGCATCCGGTCCTAAATGAGCGTCTTCACCAAGCCTCTCCCCTCAGGACTCAGAAGAGGGGGCAGGATGAGAGTAAGAACCAGAGGTGACAGATGACACCGAGGGAACAATGTGGCAGCACACACAACCTTTATAGGCTCAAGCAAGCAGAGGTCCCAAGCCCTGGGTGGGAAAGTGAACACAGCACCCATCCTAACCAAGAACCATCTACAATTGCTACCCACTGGCAAAGGGGCAACCTGTTTTCTCTAATGGAGTCTCACTGGGATATCAACTACACTTCCAGACAGGCCCCAAGCGCAGGAGAAATTGGCCAACACAGAACAGAGTCAATGATATTTTTTGTCGATGTTTTGTTTCATTTTGTTTTTCTTGGGCTTTTTATTATTATTATTATTTTGTTTGTTTTTTGAGAGCATGAGAACATGAAGATGGCAGGTAGGGAGGTGGGGAAGATCTGGGAGTGAGTGGGAAAAACATGATTAAAATATATTGAATGAAAATAATCAAAAAAAAAGAGAGAAAACAACAGGTGAGTGGTTTTGAGGGTAATGAGCTATACCACTAGAGGGACCGAAGAAAGGATGCAAGACATGGGACCCTAGTGATGGCGCACGCTTTTAATCCCAGCACTAGGGAAGGTAAGGCAGGCAGATCTCTGTGAGTTCAAGGCCAGCCAAGGCTACATAGTGAGACTTATCGTAGGATGTGGGGGAAGTATGGGGAAGGGGTACTCTAGTTGAAGGGTACCCATTGTGCAGGGGTGTGTGTTAGCATGATGTCAGGGAGTGTGTTTACTGATTCGTAGACAGGCTCTTCTATATCTCCCTATGGCAGTGGGGACCCCAGAATTTACAGGATAGTAGAGGGCTGCAGATGGGCTGTAATCTGAGGAAGAAGTCTGGGACTCTAAGGCTCACAACCAGCTCTCAGTGAGCTGCTCCTTGGTGGCTGGGAAGCTGCAGGTGAGCACAAACTGATTAGCCATCAGTGTAACTCTAACGCCAGGCCAGCTATGATGTTTCAATGCTGTTATTATTGCTGTTTTGAGGCAGGATCTCTGGCCCAGACTGGCGGTAAACTTCTGATCCTCCTCCAGTGCTAGGGTTTACGGTCTGTCCCACCTGATTTATGCAATGTATGGATCAAACCTGGGGCTTTGAACGTGGCAGACAAGCCCTCAACCACCGTTGTAAAGTTCCAGAAAGAAGTTGTCACTACCTTGAAACTGAAACCTCCTCAAGGCTGATTGACAGATTAGAACTTCAGTGATTTTGTAGAGTTGGGATGTTACAAATCAAGAGCCAATTTGCAACGTATCTGGAGCTATCTTTGGCTTCCCAAATAGCCATTCTTTGCCCAATTCCCTGTCAGGCTGACATCTTAAAGCCTCTTGGAATGAATTAACATCACAGAACCCCAGCTTCCACCAATCAAGGAGGCTAGAATGCTGTGGGCTAGCACCTAAGGACCACAACTGTTCTCCTGGCCTTCCTGTGGCCTCCACCAATGTACTTGAAAAGTACCCTGATTTATGACTTTCTATTTCTATAAAAACTTCACGAAACATTTTCCACACCAGAACATAGGACTTGGGATGGGTGACCTAAATCCACATCCCCAGGCCATGGTCACTCATATTTAGTTCCAGAATAAACGTTGAACCCCTTTGTGGTGAGAACTGTGTTTCTGCATGAACGCTGAACTACAATTCCTCAACTGTTTTAACAAGCCCTCCTGGCCATTTGGACACACCTGCATTTGAGAAGTACTAACACAGACATTTCTATACATCATTACAGGCTGAATTAGCAGGCGACTATGGCTTTCTGTCTTTTGATTTTTATTTACTTATTTTGTTTCTAAGATAGGATCGAAGACCTTAAACTCAAAGTCTTCCTGCATCTGCCTCCCAAATGCTATGATCACAAGCCTGTGCCAACACACACAGGTGTCCTTCCAATTCGGGAACCCCATAATTCTATAAAAAATAAAAATATGATTTGACATCCACTCAGTTCATTTCTTTCTATTTTTTCCTCCTTTTTTTTAAAAGCAGGCAAAACACTTAACTGTTTTTCTTTTGACAACAATGCAACATTGGCAAAAGCATATAACTGAACTTACCCACTATCTCAGGGATGGAGAATAAGAATATTGGGACTGGGACTGGAGAGATGGCTCAGCGGTTAAGAGCACTGGCTGCTCTTCCCGAGGTCCTGAGTTCAATTCCCAGCAACCACAACCATCTATAATGAGATCTGGTGCCCTCTTCTGGCGGGCAGGGATATATGCCAGCAGAACACTCTATACATAATAGATGGATAAATAAATATAATAAAAGAATATTGGGCTACTTTAGCAGCTCATGAAACACGGAGATGAGATGAGAGATTCTCCTTCCTAATGTGGGTTCCCTAGAATCTCATCATGCCATGAAAGCCAAGCACTAATGGACTGACACGTTTCTGAAGTCTGTCTCATCTGAAGACAGCTTCAGCGAGGCAACTGGTGGGACCGCAAGTGCCAGAGGACTTCTCTGTAGAACTCCAGACTGTCTGTCACAAGAGCAGGGACAGCAATGGCGGGAGTGCTCTCTAGCAGCCATGAACAAACTTCCCCAACGCCACTCCTTGTGGCCAGCCTGGCCCTAGCCGGCAACTGTGGCAGGTGTTTCTGAACCTCAGGGCTCCCTACTGCTCTGTGCTCAGAGTGGAACAGGTCAGTCCCCTCTAAACTACTCCAAATCAAAAGGTACTCACAGGAAAAGTCGTAGGACCTTTATCTCCAAGAGAACGCTCTGTATTTACACCTTCTGGTCATTTCTATTATTACCAGTGCCATCCTTATCAGTTAACAAGTGAAAAAAAAAACTCCATTTCCTAGGAAATTTCTAATAATACAGAAGGAGATGAGGGAGAGAAAGCAGAGAGGAAAAACTACAGGGGTGGAAAGAAAGGCAGGAAGACCCCCTCGCTGCTAAAAACCCATCCTGTGGTTTTTCAAAGATCAAATATGAGAGTATGAGCTTTGACGGAAGTGGGGTTTTTAACAAGAGCAAGAAAAAAAAAAAGAAGAAAAGAAAAAGAGTATAGGAATCAAGAGCAGTCAGCGGAGCCCCAGCAGAGATCAGGGAAGAGCTTCTGTCCTGAGGTAAAGAGGCTGTGGGGAACCTGGGCTCTGGGAGGAGAGATGGGACACTTGCTCCCAGGAGGCCAAGCTCAGTTAGGCCACTGGCTTCTCAGAGGGAAATAGATGTTCTCTGCCCTCAGAGGCCTGAGAAAGAGAGAGGCTACTTACGGCGGTGAGCTAGTGTGCTCACCCTTCCTTCTGATGGGCTTCAAGCCCTTGTCTGGTTCAGACATGCCTTCAAGGGGATCAGAACCACAGCACACGCCTGGGAGGGAAGTCTCGGTGACCAGCTTAACTCACACACGCTGAATCCTTCAGGCTGCTCTCTTTGGTTCTGTCTTCACGAGAAGACAGTGGGTAAAAGACACACGTTTCTATAAATGTAAAGGAGGTGAAGAATTCCAGCAAGAAAATCACCAAAGGCTGTCAAGCCTTTGCCAAAGCTCTTGTCTTGGGTCTGGGTTGAGTTGTGAGCTGCCTCTGTGAGGCATCTCTGAGGGACATTCATGTCCTACATGGTATGCACTGGAGGTGACACCAACAAGGGCAGTAAAACTCTAAATTCCGAGGTTTCAAAAAAAAAAAGTAGTGATTTGCTCTAAGTTCAGTTCCAGCTACATCCTTCTGTGGGAAGAACCCTCTGCCTGTGAATCAGAGATGGCTGCTAACCTAGGGTGTTGTGACCCTCCACAAGATCAGACCACAAATAGGATTTATGAATCTGGGGAGAAAACGCATCTTCGATTTTGTCAGTCGCTACTGGGTAATTGGTATTTGCTTCCATTAAAAATGCAGGTAGGGAGCTGGATGTGGTGGGCCACGCCTTTAATCCCAGCACTCAGGAGGCAGAGGCAGGCGATCTCTGAGTTTGAGGCCAGCCTGATCTACAGAGCAAGCTTTAGGACAGCTAGAACTGTTACCCAGAGACACCTGCCTCAAAAAAAAAAAAAAAAAAGACAAGGGCCACAGTAGAACCCGCCGTTAGAAGAGAGCCCAGTGTCTTCAAACCTTTTAGCAGCTGTTACACTTCACTGGCCCAGACAAGGGCTGGAGTGATCACCAGCTGCTCCTGCAGAGGCCTTGGTTCACTCACATGGAGGTTTACAACCATCTGTATCCAGTTCCAGGGGATCCAACGCCCTCTTCTGGCCTCCATGGGCACCAGGCATACAAATGGTACACAAGCAAACATGTAGGCAAAATAACTATACACATCAAATAAAATATTGAAAACCTACATTTTAAATTTTTTTTTGGTTTTTCGAGACAGGGTTTCTCTACATTGTTTTGGAGGCTGTCCTGGAACTAGCTCTGTAGACCAGGCTGGCCTCTAACTCACAGAGATCCGCCTGCCTCTGCCTCCCGAGTGCTAGGATTAAAGGCGTGCGCCACCAATGTACAGCATTTGACTGCATTTTAAATATTTTTAAAAAGAGAAATTGTGTTATCAGATAGACACTATATGCAAAGAAGGGTGTGTTATCTGTTATGCATTCCTATAGCTGTCTAACAGCTGTCTCTATAGAATTTGTTTCCTTTTTTCTTACATGATTTGCTTTTCTAATGCTAGGCTGATTTTTCTAATTTTATATGTTATGAGTTTTTGCCTACACATACACATGAACAACATGTGCCCTCACACACATATGCACTGCATGTGTGCCTGGTGCCCACAGAGGTCAGAAGAGGGTGTTGGGTGGTGCCCTCAAGCTGGAATGGTGCGGCCCTGTGGGTGCTGGAACCCAGTCCTGTCTTCTGCTAGAGCAGCGAGCCATTTCTCCAACCCAGCTTGTTAATTCTTCTACAAAGAGCATTTTAACTAATTTATTCCTTCACACATAACTGAAAGGAATTTACTACCACACAATAATGTATTGCAAAATAAATTAGAAGGTAGCAAAAGTACGTTGTGACTGTAAAAACTGTACAGGTTTGCAGATAAACTCTACAGGACTGCGGGTTCTCTAGTGTTTCCATACAATCTCGGAAAGAGACACAAAATACCCAGGATTAAAGGAAAAAGGGATTCGACTCTGCTAAAACCATCATTGGAGAGTTTTGACGGCACTCTTATGAACACAAGCCTCGCGTGCTTCACGGGGTCTTCAAAAGGCTCCTTGGTCCCCTTTAAAGTACAATTTTCACTATACTTATTTAGTGTGTGTAGGTGCATGTGAAGGTCAGAGGTTACCTCTTTCCACCGTGAGTCTCAGCCGAATTCAAGTCCTTAGGCTATGTGGCGAGCGCCTTTACCAGCTGAGCCTTCTCGCCCTCCATGGTTTCCTTTGAGCTGAGGTTAGGGAGCTGTGCTCCAGCTCAATGAACCGGGTTGGAAGAGCTGGCTGAGAACACCAAGTGCGCCAAGGCGTCCCCGGAACTCTGGTTTCTCAGAATTTAGAGAGGAGGGCGTTTACTGCTGTCCTCCACCTCTTATCAAAGATTCCTGAGAGTCCAGAAGTCCCTAAGGTCAGAGCAGTTCAAGGAAGACTTAAAGGCGAGGATGCCAACCCTATCTGAACCCTCCAGAGTCCACCGCATAAGTGAGGGAGGCGGGACCTGCGGCTGGGGCGTCCTGGACGCCCTCCCATACCCCACCTCTCTTGATGCGTGAGAGCCATTTGCAGCTTCGAGCGCCGTCCAAGTTACTAGGCCCACCAAACTCAATCTGGCACTCTCTTCCTCTTCTCCACCCCTAGTTAAGGTTGTCCCCGCCTCCGACCTCGTGCCCCCGCCATTCTCCCACTCCTCTGCCGGGAGGAGTCGGGGCTGGACTGAGCCTGCAACACCATGGCGGTCACACGCGGGGCTGGGAGGCATCGCCCTCTAGCGGCGAAAGCTCTAGTGAGCTGTGCCTGCCCGCGACACACCAGATGCTCCGGGCATCAAGGCCACGTCTACCAAGGGAGTCCTCACCCCACTGCCCTCCTCCCCACCCCACTCCCGCCTACCCCCAGCCCGGCTGAGGAGCCCAAACAGACTTACACACTCCGGTCCAGCAGGACCTCAGCACCGCAAAGCCACTCCGGCGGAGTGACCCTCTGTCAGCAGGCCAGCCTGCCTGGCCGTTCTAGAGTTGGAAGCAGTCCCTACTCCGCCCCTCGCACCCCACTGCACCAGTCCCTGAGGACACAGTCCTGGAGAAGAGGCAGAACCTTCTGGCACCTCACAGCCACAACTCTCCCAGCCGGTTCTCCACCGCCCTTCTCCCACCTCGTCCTTCGGGTACCTGAAGCCAGCAAAACGGCCGGGGCCCAACTCCACTGCCATCCTGCAACCTTCCCAGAGCCCCAGGCCTGATTTTCTCCTTTTCTTAACCTTGTAAACTGCATCCCCAATTCTGTTCTTGTCACAGCCCTTTATGCGTCACTGTTTGAGAGCGGAGAGAGATGTCTGTAACGGGAGGCACCAAAGAGACTGACTCCCAGAGGGTTAGGATCCCAGCTCCCCCCAGTCTGTGAGACTTTAAGCAAGTCACACAGCTTCTCCAAGACTACTGTACACACACGTGGTTGACGATAGCTCAGAGTTTTGTAAGAACTAAATACAACTGTGTATGTGGGTATGAACTGCAGCCTACTGTGTGGCCATAAGAATAATCACAGCTAACGTTTATTGAGCAGTTGAGCTACGCCAAGCACCATGCTATGCTCACAAGGCTGCCAATTAACTCCCATAATTACCTTGGGAAGAGAACACTATTATCAACTTTTCATTCATCAGTAAACTTTTCCAACATTAGAGAACTAGTAATTGTCAAGCCAGATTTCAAACTTGACCTGACTAGGAGGCATCCAGCCACATGTAGTAGAGTCCTGTGTAATGAATGATCTGTCTGTCCCCCACATATGTGCCACGTGCTGGACGGGAAGTACTAGTCAGATGTTTTCATTTCTCAAGGGCTTAACCTAGGGTCTAGCACAGGAGCCCGGGAAGTTTGATGACACCCCAGAATACGGTTTAGATGTACCATGTTGTTTTTGACACTAAGTTAATTTGAAGTGAAACAGAATCTGAGATTCGCTTTATTGGCTAGTACACTATTTTTAAACTGTTTGGTTTGCTTACAAGAATATATGTTCTGCAATGATTTGATGGAAAGTCTACTAGATTTCCATTGGGTTGGTTGTTCTTTAAATCTTCTGTCCATACCTTATAAATCATTTAACAGTTGAGAAAGCTGGGTATCAATGTAGTTCTCATGTCTTCCAGAAGTTTCTCCAAATTCTACTTTGTACAGTTTAAGGTTTATTACACAGTTTCGGATAATTTATTCTTATGCATCTGGGTGTTTTGCCTGTAAGTGTGTTCATGCACCACGTGGTGCAGTGGGTGTAGACGCCAGCAAAGGGCGTCAGTGACCAGATGTACTTCTTCATAAACTGTACACCTCCTGCCTCGTGTTAATTTAGTTATGCCAACAATACTTAACCACCATTTTCATCCTTATAGTTTTGAATTTCCATGTCATTACTCTTTTTTAAGATTTTTATTTATTTTTTATATATATAGTGTTCTGCATGCACAGATATGCCTGCAGGCCGGATGAGGGCGCCAGATCTCATTATAGATGGTTGTGAGCCACCATGTGGTTGCTGGGAATTGAACTCAGGACCTCTGGAAGAGCAGCCAGTGCTCTTAACCTCTGAGCCATCTCTCCAGGCCCGTCATTACTCTTTTTAGTGACATTTATTTTTATTTTAGGGTGTATTTGAGGGAGGGCACGTGTGCCCCAGCACTTGTGTGGCAGTCAGAGGACAAGTTTCAGGAGTGGGCTCTCTCTTTCTATCACATAGGTCCTGGGGATCAAACTCAGGGCATCAGGGTTGGTGGCAGGTGCCTTTACTCTCTGAGCCATCTCTCCAGCCCTCAGTCCTCTTCAATATTCCTCTTGCATGCAGTATATGGTTGAATTTTGTTTGGTCTGAGACAGGGTCTCACTATGTAGACCAGGCTGGCCTCCAACTCACAGGGATCCGCCTGACTCTGTCTTCCAAGTGTGAGCTACCACATGCCCAGCTGTGATGACATCATATTCCACTGGATTGTAAACTCAAACTTTCTTCAATAAGTTGCTTTTGGGACTGATATTTTATCAGAGCAACAGAAAAGTAACTACTACACAACATGGGAACATATTCTTGGATCTGAAGAATTAATGTCACAAAAATTTCAATTCTCCCTAAGTAAAATATAAATTGAACATAACCTATCTTTCAAAATAGCAATAGGGGGAATATCCTCTTCTAGCCTCTACAGGCACTACATGCCTGTGGTTCATGAATATACATGCAGTCAAAACACCCATACAAGTAAAATAAGAATGGAAAAATTGTAGTTGGGCTTTCTTGGGTTGAAAAGGGGAATAAGCCCGGCGGTGGTAGCCCAGCACTAGGGAAGCAGAGGCAAGCAGATCTCTGTGAGTTCAAGGCCAGAGTGAGTTCCAGGACAGTCTCCAAAGCTACACAGAGAAACCCTGTCTGGAAAAAAACGGGGGTAGGGGTAAGAGAAGGCAATGGTAGAGAAGAATATGTCAAGATTCTACATCCATGTCTATGCATTTCCGTAAACGTCATGGAACTGACACAGGCATTCTGACACTGGCGGCCTTCACATCGGATTTTACACTTTCACTACCCAATACGTTTTCCTGCACTTACCCATCACCAAAACATCCATGATAGAGTTGAAAGGAAAACATTGTTAATTTTATATCTTCTTTCATGACACAAGTGCCTTCTACCTGAATTCAGTCCTTCCTCATTCCCTAATATTTATCCTCTCTTGTTCTCCTTTTTACATATTATATATACACATATATGTATACATACATGTGTGTGTGTGTGTGTGTGTGTGTGTGTGTGTATGTAACAGGAGCTATCTGCCAAATGAGCCCAGAAAAAATAGGCAACATCTCTCAGTTATAGCTCACTTGACCTTTTAAATCCCTTCCAAACTCTCTGCACCCTGAGGCTCTCTTCATCTCTGGCACACTTTGAGCAACCCAACAAGTGCTTAAAGTAGAGAGAGTCTTAGAGGCCTGGGAGGCTTCACCTAACGCGTCTCTGTGCTTTCAGGAGTGTGAGGCACGGACCAGCAAAGCCAACATTTATGTGAAATTCCTGGGGCTGCCGACAACATGGGAATCCTGATGTCACCTGGCCGAAGCTGCTGTGCCCTGGCCATCCTGCTGGCAATGGTGGACTTCCAACGTGGCGGTGAGGATAGGTCCCGAGACAGAGACAGCCTTTAGGAGAATGCAGGGCTCAGGGGAAGGATGCTTCCAATGCATGTTTTCTTGTAGGGAAAAGTCTCAACACAAGCACTGATTTCTCTGTAAAGATTCCCTGATTCTTTCAGGCATGCACAGGAACCTGTAAGCGCCCTCAATTATAGTAATTGCATAATTTGGTAGTAATATGTTATTTTGTGGTGATAGATAATAGATAGCTAGATAACAGATGATAGAAGATAGATAGACAGATAGATAGATAGATAGATAGATAGACAGACTGACAGACGGACAGACGGACAGACAGATTTAAATACACTTGGTGAGTCAGGGAATAAGCACTTTCCTGCCTGCTTTACCCACTCCCATGCTCTGCGATGCCATCTGCTTTACCCACCTCAATGCTTTGCAATGCCAGGGAAAGCTGCAACCTGTGAGGAAGAGATTTGTGCCCACCACATTCCTTCAAACCCTGGTGCCTGTAAACCTTAAAAAAGTAGAATGGAAGACCAACCTCCTGAGAAATCTTTAAGAATAGTATTCAGACACTTTGTCATGTGCCTGTCAAGGCGTAAGGAGAACAAGTGCTTGCAGGCATCCCAGCAAGGCTACAGAGGAAATAACAACCAACGGGTTTTGACCCTGTGGAACATGGGTTCAAACTCTCAGGCACTGACTTGGGGCATCCCCATTCATGTCTGATTCCTTCCTCTAAAACCTGTACTGAGTCTAACCACACGAAAGGAAAATAAAAACATCCAACTCGTGGATTTAATTAGGATATAAGACTTCTGGTAATCATAAACCATCTGTTCAGATCTACCTTTGGAACTCTGTACAACACTTACAGAGCGCAAAGGCACTGTGGATGTAAGTTCTCAAAGCAGCTGCAGGGCTTGCTGGCCACAGCTACATTGGTAGACTCGAACCATGAAAGAAGAGTTTTTAAGGCTTTATTGCTTCTGACCTTTGGCTTGAAGATATGCCTGAGGCGCTCTCCTGGCACGCTGGTCTCCTGTGCTACCTTCCTGGAGCTCCATTTCATGCCCACACCATTTCCTTCCCCTCCTTACTTCCTGTACACTCCCACTAAGGCCTTGCCACACATTTGATTTTATGATGTACAACTGATTTCTCTTCCTAAAGTAGGAAAACGTTCAGACTCTTGTCTGCAGTCATACAAGAATGGACTTGTGTCTTGTAGACACATTCTTCCCATTGGTACGGGGTATCTCCCCGACCCATCCACTCTGCCACACCCAGACCCAGGGACACCACCGCCACTGCCTCTACCGAGAGGGGTTTGCACGTTCTGCCTTTAGCCGTGGCTGCTCTGTTACTGCCTGGAATCTGGAGTGCAGTATTTCTTGAATCTTTTAAAATTTATTTTACCTATTATTATTACAATCATCATCATTATTATTTGGTTTTTTGAGACAGGGTCTCTCTGTGTATCCCTGATTGTCCTGGAACTCCTCATAGAACAGGCCGGCCTCAAACTCACAGAGCTCGCCTGTCCCTGCCTCTCTAGTGCTAGGACTAAAGGCGTGCGCCACCACTGCCTGGCTTATAATTTGCTAATTTTTACACTGGGCTGTACACTTGAGAGTAGAGCTTTAATGGTTTGAATAAGATGTCCTGAATAAGTCTTGGCATTTGAGTATTTGGTCCCCAGTATTTGGGAAGGATTAGGCCGTATGGCCCTGTTGGAAAAGATGTGTCACTGGGGACAGACTTAGGGTTTCAAAATCCTCTTACCATTCTCAGTGTGCTCTCTTTCTTGATTATGGTTTTAAGATGTGAGCTCTCAGCTGTTCCTGCCACCATGCCCTGGTTCTGCCATCATGGATTCTAACCCTCCCTGAAAAATTAAACAATTTCTTTTATAAGTTGCCTTTGGTCATGGTGTGTTGTCACAGCAATAGAAAAGTAACTAAGACATGTACCCCAGCATCATGGTGTAGACTCTTTACATGTATCTTGTCCCTTAAGTCTCATCTCCCAGGAGAATTAGAAGAGGCAGGCAATGTGCTTATTATCACAGGGACAACCAGAAGTTGGGTTTCCCATCTGCCAGTGTCACTGTCAAAGACTGTACTCTACTGACAGGAACCAGCTAGGTATGACTTGAGGAACTCCCCCTGGATTCTCACGGGCAACTCCTGCATTTCCATTCCAGGCTGCATCCGGGTCACCAGCTCAGCATCCCAGAGAGGAGGGCGACTGGACTTCACCTGTACTTTGTGGCACAAGAAAGAGGAAGCGGAGGGGCTCGTACTCTTCTGGTGCAAAGACATGTCCTGGGACTGTTCCCCTGACACCAGCTTAGAGCAGCTAAGGGTTAAAAGGGATCCTGGGACGGATAGCATCACTGAACAGTCATCACAGTTGGTGTTCACCATAGAACAAGCCACGCCATCAGACAGCGGGACCTACCAGTGCTGTGCCAGAAGCCAGAAGCCAGAAATCCACATTCATGGCCATTTCTTCTCTGTCCTAGTTACAGGTGAGTGCCTAATAACCAAATGCCCCGGGGGAGCAGTGAGCAGGGCTGACAGTGGGAGCTTCAAGTAGCAATTTGAGGTCCTAGAGAGCAATCCCTTTGAGGGCCCCTCCTTCCTGTTACCCAGTCCTCTGCCAGCTCCTCCCTGGCTGACATACCTTATGTTAAACCTTTCTTCGAAGTACATTTACAAAGGTAATCTCATCTTTGTCTTTACTATTCAGCATCTTTGTAGAACGTTCCTTTCATTCTCATTAGAAGACTGAGTCATCAGGAGGTGAAGAGATGGACTAGTAAAATTACAGGTCTAGAACCCAGGTCTTCTCATCAGGAGGTGAAGAGATGGACTAGTAAAATTACAGGTCTAGAACCCAGGTCTTTGGATGCCTACTCTGGAGTTCTCCCAGAGAAGATGCTCTATTTCCTCAAATACAGAGATGGGTTTAAAATAAAATTAATGACTGCCTAAGAAGCACCTGGCTCTATGAAATGAAGCTAGTCAAGCTACTGGACTAAAACAGAAAGATAAAGCAAGAAGTATGGATAGTCCCCATGGGTTCAGTTTCTTAGAATCAGAAGTCATAAAGTCGATGGAACCCCAAACTGTCATTCTGGGTCTCAAGCTCCCCCAGAGTGTCAGGTCCTCTCGGCAGGCCAGTCTCCTGGGGTTGAGCAGGATGGTTAGTGTTGACTACTCAGACCCTCCCCCCATTACTTACGGGGGAGTGGGGAGATACACACTGAGTCGGGAGTCTGTCGAAGCAGGATCTCGATTTATTCCAACAGGCAGGAACTTATATAGGGCTGAGGTATGGGATGGGAATCTTAGGATAGGTAAGGTGATGTGAGGAGTAAGGGCCAATAGTATTCCACCAAGCAGGCAGGTAGCTAGGCAGGGGGCAATCTTGCATCAGGTCTGGCTGAGTCACACCCACGTGGGGGTTATAGGTTAGAGACAGGTCGACAAACTCTAGCCAGGCTCAGGAGCTTACACTGGGCCTCGCATCCGAGTCTTTCTTAGGCCCAACACAGGAGCAAGGCTTCTATCTCTACCCATGTCCTTCACGGTGTGCACACCTCCCCTGCTCCCTTACCACCTCAGTAAACCCAAATGTGATGACTCCAGCCAACCTCTACAAAGGGCCTTCAGAATTCTGTGTGTCATGTTATCTTGACTTAGAATTCTATATCCAGCCAAAGGACCCACGTGTGTGAGAAGAGTGACACTGTTGGATGTGCAATGACATAGAAAACACACTGTCTGTGTGAGCATTTCTCAATGCTGGAGGTTGGACCCAGGACCTAGAGCATGCTAAGCCAGTGCTCACCACTGAACCTCATGCCAGTCTCATACAATCTGTTTAAAGGATGCAGCAAACCAGCATTCAGGAAACTGATTTAAAGTCTCATACAATCTGTTTAAAGGATACAGCAAACCAGCATTCAGGAAACTGAGTCTGATTGTAAGTTTTGGGCCTGGACTACATAGCTGGACCATGCCGGTAAACAAATAAACATCACCTTAGCCTTCTACCCACAGTAAATAAAAACGTTCCCATTGTCTTCTCTGGTTACTAATCTTTCACATGCTCCAGCTGGCTCTGTATTTTCTCCCTTCCTCGCTTGCTGCTACCTGCCTACACGAGCTGTCAGCACTTGTAACTATTCTTTCGTCCATGAAATCCTCTCCTCTGGCTTCTGAGAGTGTTCTTCGAATTGTTTAATTTCTCATCTGCTTTGCCTCTATTTCCTCCTCCCATCTAGCAAGTCCTCACCTCGTCCACGTTTCCGGCCCTCCCCGAGTGTGCATCCGCTCTGAGTCAAACCTGCACTTTGCAAGTGTCCCACAAGGCACCCTCCCCTGCTCTACCTCCTTCCTACGCTTTAACTAAGCACCTGCCAGCAGCTGGACCACTCCTGGCAGCGCCCATCCCCTCACACTGTTTCCCCGAGACTAGCATCTGCCCATGAGCCAAAACCCTGGCTCCTCGTTTTCTTCACCCATCTCGTAAACGAATTTTCTGGTTTGGGGTCACCACAACATGAGGAACTGCATTAAAGGGCCGCAGCATTAGGAAGATTGAGAACCACTGCTCTAGGCAATTTCATTGTATTTACTGAGCCTCTGTGCTCCAGTTAAACTGCAAGAGTGGCTATTCCCCTGCCCCCTCTTCATTCATTTACTGAGTACCCACAGTGCACCCTGAGCACAGTGCCCAGCGCTGGACAACAGAACAGGGAGCACAGTCCTTGCTCCTTATAACCCAGTGCTCACTCAGAGCAGCAACGACAGCAGTTCCAGCCATATTCCAGCACCCGAGATTTTAACTTATGCTAAATTACTCAACCCATTCTAGAAGACTGTTTATAATGACTGAAATCTAGGGAAACCCAAGTCCAAGGTAAGCTGTTTAGCCTTTCTGTCAAAACTCTAGAGCTCCTCCCAGGGCTCCTTGCATCTCTGTATGTGCTGAATGCTAGATTCTGTCTTAAGTCTATCATCATAGCCCACTGACATCAAGGAAATTTACTCAGGAAGTGAATTTTGCTGCCGAGCCTTCTTTGAGATCACATGGGAAACACTACAAAGGGAGTTCTGACTCTGACACGCTCTCCTGATCCATGATTCTCTTTTGAACCTGGAACAGGGAACCACACCGAGATAAGGCAGAAACAAAGGCAGCACCCTGGCTTCAGCAGCTTTGACAGCATCTTCAGTTCCGGCTTCCTGCAAGTCAAGGCCGGGGGGTTGCTGATCGCAAGCCTGGTGGCCCTTCAAGGTATGTCCAGAAGAGAGTGCAACACTCCAACCTGTGCATTTGTATCCTTGCCAGCTGTATTATTTCCTAGGAGGGAAAGTACAGAAAGGAAGCTCAGAGGGAGGGGAAAATGTTCTCCAAGCCCTGGCTATCTGCAGAAAAGTGCAAACCAGTGTGTGGGTAAAACTGGATTAAAGGGACTAAAGTCCTCGTAATTCTCTATCTACATGGGGGCAGATGAGTCGGACTTTCCTCTGGGTAAGAGGTCAGACTTCTTAGGGAAGGCCTGTGGGACAATAAACACAGTTGCCTCCACTCATTCACAGAGCACAGCACTGCCAGCTCAAGCTACAGATCTCTAGTTGCTATACAAAGATGAACCAGGCAGGAGACCGGGCCGGTCTGAGATGGGATTTGAACATAGCTCCTCCACAAAGCTGATGACCATAATGAGTTTTAAAAGACTGAGACATTTAATAATTTGTCACCAGGCTTTTGAATAACAAATAACTGATGCAAGCTTTTGACTGTCCTTGGCAGTCAAAGGGACCAGCTTCCACATGGGGTATTTGGGGATGGAGCAGACTGACCATTTACTGGTACTGAATACAAGGTTCTCTAGTGGGTGAAGCTATATGCTTGTTAATAAATGTTATCTCTTCAGGCACAGTACAAACTCAAAGGGGAAACTGACCACTAACTCTGACTCCAGAGTAACCCAGAACAGCAAAGTCTCTGCTCCCGGTCCCCTTTTCTAGTCAAGAATGAAACTTTAAATTCAATTATTTATTTTCTCCTGTGCTCCAGGAGCTTTAAAGGTACACAAAAGAAAAAAAATGAAGCTAAATCATATACTACTTTTTAAAAAGATTTATTTATTTATTATGAATATAGTGTTCTTCCTGCAGGCCAGAAAAGGGCACCAAATCTCATTACAGATGGTTGTGAGCCACCATGTGGTTGCTGGGAATTGAACTCAGGACCTCTGGAAGAGCAGCCACTGCTCTTACCTGCTGAGCCATCTCTTCAGCCCAAATATACTACTTTTGTTATGAAACTGTGTGAGAGAGATTGTGACATGGTTTCCCCATGCAGCCCAGACTGACCTCCAACTCACAGACCTACCCCAGGCATCCGACCACCGTGTTACAGGTGTGAACAACCACTAAGCTTTTCCTTTTCTTCATTTTCCTCCAACTCAAGGCTTAGTAGAATGATGGAAGAGGGTGTGTTCAGCAGAAAGATGCACACAGTTCCTTGGGCCTTAGCGATATCAGGGAGACCAAGTTACGATGCTTTCTTTCACGTGAGGTTAAAGATGAAGGAGTTTCCCGGGTCCCTGTGCCTCCCTGTGTCCCCCACACAACACAGATATTATGCTCATACATTTTCCCCATTCCCTTTCTAGTCACAAGAGCCTGTCAAACACACATCTCAGGACAGGCGAGACCTCCCAAATCAGGTGTTCTGTTTCACAGCTAGTCTAAGTTATGAGGTAATAACAGAAACCATTCATTTTCTTTCTACAGCTCTATAAACCTTGTGACAAAAAAAGACACCCTTCAAAAGGTACAGCAAGATAAATCTGACAATGCACACAGAGAAAAATGGTACCGGGAACAGATGCTAAGTAGTCCGGGAATCCGGAGGGCCAGTAAGATGGCGCACACCAGGACAGGGGCGTGCCTGTCAAGCTGCAGCTCAAACCTCCGTACCCACAGGTGGAAGGACAGACTGACTCCCACAAGCTGTCCTCTGACCTCCACGGCACTGCCGTGCCCCACCCCAATAAATAAAACCACTCCAAGGATCCTCGGGGCACGTGGCACACTCCTGGGTCTCCCCGCCTTCCTGCCAGTGCAAGCTTGCCTTCTCCCACCCCGGTGCCAATAAAGAAAACAGTTTGCAAACGTGGCTGGTATGCTGTCCTTAAATACCAGGTATGTTTTAGACCACAAAGTAATGTTTCATCTCTTCTGCAACGCAGTAAAACAAACAAGTTTTAATTTTATGTGAGTGCATGATGCCTGGGTGAATGCACACTGAACATATGGAGGTCACAGGACAACTATCGGGAGTTGGTCCTCTCCTTCTACCGTGAGTTCTGGTTAAGTGCAATCACGAAGACACAAAGTCTGCAGTTTGGTTCTCAGGACCCACGTGACAAGTCAGGAGTTCCCCCAAACACCTGGAACCTCAGCTTCAAGAGACCAGAGATATGAGGATCACTGGGGCTTGCTGAGTTCCAGCCTAGTGGAGAAAATGTGAGATGGTACCTCAGGGGAATAGGTAGAGAATGATGAAGGCTACCCAATGCCCTCTGCTGGCCTCCACCTGCACCTGCACACACACACACACACACACACACACACACACACAAATAAATCTTTAAAAAGGAAACTGCCATTTTTAAAAAGAACTTTATTTAACACTGTAAAGGAAAAAAAGACAAAACAAGCACTTTGGCAGGGACAGGGAGAAGAGAACTGGGTACAGTGACTGCTTGGAAGGAAAACGAAAGATCAAGGCAGATGCTGGTGTTCAGTGTGCCCCACGCGCTGCTAGAAGAGGCGGGGCATCATGTGGGCCAGGGACACTACGGATTGCAATTGTCTACCTTCAGCGAAGGACCTACAGCCTCTTTGGTCATGAGTCTTTTTCAAGGATGCTCAAAGCAGTTATTTGCAGGCTTTTCTTGTTCCTAAACTCACAGACCCTCTTTGATTCTGGGCAGATAACCTCCTATCACATGCAGAACAAGGGCCGCATACTCTTTCCAACAGCAGGGACTACATGAAAAAAGATAGGGACAGACAATTGATTCGAGTTAAGTGTCAAGCCATCAAAATAGACATCTTGCCAATCATCTTTTTGATACCAACCTACCAAATGTGGGAACTAAGATTTGTGGAGACCAAGACCCAAGATTGACATGTTGCAGTAATATCTTTAATAGGGTGAATTTCAAACTACGGACTTTTGACTTTGTGATGTAAAAATCTGGAGCCAAATTCTGGCACTGCAATGAAATAACTGCATGACTTTGGGCAAGTGAAACATTTTTATTTCATGTGTTTGAACGTTTCGCCTGCATGTATGTGTGTGCACCACAGAGAGGCCATCAGATCTCCTGTCCTGCAGTGGTTTCCTGACAGACAAATTCAGAGTCATCTGAATCCTGACTTCAAGGTTTCCAAAACTCTCTCCACTCCATTACCTTCTCTATAATCTCTTTCATGTGTTTATGGTTTTAACTAAATGTGAAGCTCACATTAGCTTAAAATTACACTTCAGAGGACTTTCTGTAACTACTCAGCTCAACACAGCAACTTCAGCATGACAGCCAACTGCAGGGAAGGTTCTACACACCATATTGCATCAACTAGAGTGCACACACAGATCTACACAGGAGACATACAATCTCTGCTCATTTATCAAGACATTTACAAGCATTGAACTAAGCAGAATAAATAAGCAACCATAAAGCAAATGCCTAAAGAATCTGTTTATTCTGCTTATTTCAAGATTCAGTTAAGCAGAAATTGGAAATACTGCCTTGGTTTTTAAAATGTACTGACACAATCAATTTCAATTTAAAATAAGCCCATAATTTTTACCGATGAACCCCAAAATCTGTATAATTCACAACTTGTGAAGTTACTGAGCTACTACAAAGAACCTACAAGGCTATTTTTCTTCTGTTCAAATATCTTAGATATATGTACATATCAAGTTACATGTACATACATATGCATATGCACATATACTTATATGTACATGGCATATGTATATATGTAACTGATATAACTAATAATATATATGTAACTAATGTAACAAAACAAAATTGATTTAAATACAGAAATCATAGCAGCCTTTTGCTATATTCTTTCATCAAAAATTTATAGAAATATATCTATCTCTCTTTTTGTTGGAAGAATCTCTAATGAATTTTAGGTCTTATAAGCTGTACTTCTGGCTGGACATGGTGGTGCATGACTTTAATCCCAGCATTTGGGAGGCAGAAGCAGGATGATTTCTGTGGGTTCTAGGTCAACATGATCTACAAAGTGAGTTCCAGGACAGCCAGAACTGTTACACAGAGAAACCTATCTCAAAAAAACAAACAAAAATAACTGCACTTCTGATTAGAAAAAATAACCATCATAAGCCATACCCATGATGCATAGGACTAAGGATCTTAGTGAAAAGGAAATGCTACAACAAATAACTTTGTTTATTTGGATACCATTTAATTTGTCAGAAAGCAAAATTTATATGTAAAAAAAATCTCAAGCTTGAATGTCTGCAGTTCCTCTTGTCTAGGGCATCTTCCAGTTCTGCTGAGGGCTACCCTTGGTCCTGGAACATGCACACTGTATTCTGATTTCCATTAGGAATCTCTGGGGCAGCCTTGCAGTACCTAGCTTGTGTGCCCAAACAAGGGCACTAGTACCAAACAGGATTTCCTCCTACAGGAATGACATCATTCCATTAAATCTTTCCCAAGCTCCATACACAGAACGCCAGAGATTCATTTTGCAAACTTCAAAAGTAGTATTACCCAACTTTCACAATTCCATTAACCTCCAAACAGCATTGTATTCGTCAGGATTCTCTAGAGTCTAGAGAATCTACAGGAACAGAACTGATAGAATAAATACATCCATATATGTACATATTCATATAAATAATGTACAATAATTCACATATATAATTCATCGTATGTACATATGTGCGATTACTAGATTAGCTTACAGGCTGTGGTCCAGGTAGTCCGATAATGGCTGTCCAATGGAAGGTCCAAGAATCCAGTAGTCACCCAGTCTACCAGGTTGGATGTCACAGCTGGTCTTCACTATACGCCAGGATCCTGAAGAAGTAGGCTCTAATGCCAGTGAAGGAATGAACTTGCCATCAAGAGCAAGGACAAGCAGGCAAAGAGCAAAAGCTTCCTTCTTCCATGTCCTTTATACAGGCTGCCACCAGAAGGTGTGGCCCAGATTGAAGGTGGATCTTCACACCTCAAAAGATCCAGATTATATTACCAGAGAAATGTTCAAAGCCAGGTATCTGAGAAGAACTTACAAAACTGTCATATATCAAATGCTGATAAATTTATATTGAGATAAGGTACTTAATCTACAATCATTCTTTTTAATTACGTGTATATTGCATCTTTATGAGTATCTGCCATAGGCATATATACGGGTGTCTGATGAGGCCAGAAGAGGTGTTCACAGCCTGCCCTAGAGCTGCAGTAAAGGGCAGCTGAGTCTCTTGATGGACACTGAACTTGAGTTCTCTGCAAGAATATATGAGGTCTTCTCCTTTTTTTTAAAATATGTATTTATTTATTATGTATACAGTGTTCTGTTTGCACGTATCCCTGTATGACAGAAGAGGGCACCAGATCTCATTATGGATGGTTGTGAGCCACCATGTGGGTTCTGGGAATTGAACTCAGGTCCTCTGGAAGAGCAGTCAGTGCTCTTAACCTCTGAACCATCTCTCCAGCCCCTTTTCCTTTTTTTTTTTTTTTGTTTGTTTTTGAATACAGGGTTTCTCTGTGTAGCCTTTGGTTGTCCCAGAACCAGCTCTGTAGACCAGGCTGGGATCAAAGGTGTACGCCACCACTGCCCATCAAAATTAGATTCTTTCCTCATACAATATATCCTTATTATAGTTTCCACTCCTCTCAGTTCCTCCCCATTATCCCTTCTTTCCAGATTCACTCCCTTTCTGTCTCTAAATAGAAAAGAACAGGCTTCCAAGAGATAACAACCAAACATGGTAAAATAGAATGTAATAAGATGAAGCAAGAGCTATCATATTGAAGTTGGACATGGCAACCCAACACGAGGAAAAGAGTCCCAAGAGCAGGCACAGAGTCAGAGTCCCATTGGTTCTCATGGTCAGGAGCTCACAGAAATACTAAGCTAATAGCTATAACATGTACGCAGAGGACCTGGTGCAGACCCGTGTAGGCCCTGTGCTTGCTGCTTCCATCTCTGTGAGTTTCAATGTGTCTTGCTTAGTTGATTCAAAGGCCTTTTTCTCCTGGTGTCCTCCATCCACTCTGGGTCTTACAATCTTTCTGTCTTATTTTCTGAGGGATTCTCTGAGCTCTGAGGGGGAGAGATTTGATGGAAACTTCCCATTTGGACTGTGTTACTCTGTGTATGTGTGGGGGGGCTGTGGGCCTCTGCATTGTTCCCATCTACTGCAGGAGGAAGCCTTGCTGATGATGACTGGATAAGGCACTGATCTATGAGTGTAGCAGAACATCATTAGGGATCATTTTATTGATAGGCTTTTTGTTTGTTTGTTTGTTTGTTTGTTTTGGATCAGTAGTATTTGGTTTTACCCTAGGTCTCTGGGTTAACTAGTCTCTGGTTGTTGGTTACCCAATCAGTGTCAGGCATGAATTCCCTCTTGCCTGACACTGCTTGGGGCTTAAATCAGTGGTTGGTCACTCCCACAAGTTCTGTGCCGCTGTTGCTCTATCATATTTTGCAGACAGGACAGGTTGTAGGCCAAAGGTTTTGTGGCTGGGTTGGTGTCCATATTTTTATCTTGGTAGCCTGTAGAGTACCTTCCTAAAGCAAACAGACTGGGACATAGGGACAAAGGCTCCGTGTAGGTACCAGCTCGACTTTTTCCCACTCAAGGAGTTGTGTGGGTGTCGCCTTCAGCAATGGAGCTCCTGCTGTTACTTTTCAGAGAGCAACCCTTTGTCTTAACAACAGCCTGACTTGCTTAAGATTTTCCATGGGGCCAGGTGGTGGAACATGCCTTTAATCCCAGCACTCAGGAGGCAGAGGCAGGTGGATCTCTGTGAGTTCGAGACCGTCCTGGTCTACAGAGCTAGTTTCGGGACAGTCTACAAAGCCACAGAGAAACCCTGTCTCAA